TCGTAAAGAACTTTCAACTCTAAATCTAAAGTAAAAAAGATTCTAGTTTGCTATAAATGTGACAAACCAAGACACTATAAGAACAATTATCCAATTAAAAAAAAAAAACCAATTGGACATTGACGACGGACTTAAGCAAAGTCTTTTTAGAATTCATCTTTAAGAATTTGATGGAGAAGACCTAGTCTTCAACTTTATAGAGGATTCATCAAAAGAGAAAAATTCATCCCCATCCTCCGATGAAGAAGAAATTACTAAGCATCCTAATAAGGAATACAAGGATAGGTATGATTGTGATAACTTTCTCACTAGCGACATCTTTAGGTTAAGCATAAATGTCTTAACTAAAGAATAATTGCTCATTCTAGACTTGATTGACAAGACCGAGAATCCTAATGAAAGGAGGCTTACTCTTGAAAAATATTCCAACTTAATCAAACCACCTCAAAGCCTTCACATAAGCTTTCTCTTTAAAAGCCTTAGATCAATTATGCGACCTCTTTACAAGAAATTTTTTCTAGAGCTAAACACTCCAACTCTAAAGAACCTACAATAGTTGAGCTCAAAGCCGAGATTAATGGGGTCAAACAAGAGATAAGGGAACTAAAAGTCAAAATTTCTAAATTAGAAACCTCTATAAATGCAAGTCTAATAGCATGGCAAGACTCGACTTAGAAAAAGAAAAACCAAGTTTCTTGTCCCTAAATAAGGAGATAAGAAATGAAGTAATAGAAGTAAAGACTAATTCAATCCATGCTATCTCTAATTTAGAGATAAAAAAATTGATGTGGATCAATAAATTAGATAGGGTAAGAACCTAAAAATGGTATACTCAAATTACTATTATTGTCAATAAAAAGTCAATCTCAAAACTGAAGCTTTAATTGACTTTGGCACTAACCTAAATTGTATATCGAAGGTCTAATCCTATTAAGATACTTCTCCAAAACCACTCAAGTTTTGACGAGTTGCTAATAATCAATCTCCAATCATTGATTACAAGCTCTCTAATGTTATAATCTACAATAATGGAATTTTCCTAAATATGCCTTTTGCAATGGTCAAGAATCTCTTCCTTAGAATTATTCTAAGCAATCCATTTTTTCATCTCGTTATTTCTAATTTTCAAAATTAATGAAGAAGGAACAACAATTGAGATAGCTAGACATCAATTGAATTTTAATGTTTTCAAGCAACTCGTCATTCACAACTACCGACAAAGGAGTAGAATTTCTTATACTCACTTCAAGAGAAGGTTTCCTATAAGAAAATTGAGGAGTAGATAGCTAATCTAGCTATTAGAAAAAAGGTAAAAGATTTATAAATCCTCATCCAAAAATTTTTTTATGCAAAAGTATCAAATGCATTCTAGACCAAAAAAATCATTCGATCCAACTTTCTTACGTAGAAAGGTTTAAAGAAATATGAATCCCAACAAAAGCCTAACCCATCGCTATGAGCACTAGATATCTATAAAATAGGCAAAGTTATTTTAAAAGGGTCTAATTAAACCTAGTTTTAGCCCATAGAGTTGCCTAGCTTTTATGTTGAAAATGCAATAGAGCTAAAATAAGGAGCCTCAAGGCTCTTCATTAATTATAAGCCTCTAAATGGAGTACTTAAATGGATTCACCATTCAATCCCTAACAAAAAGGATTTGTTCACCGGGCTTTATAAGGCCAATGTATTCTCTAAGTTCGGTATGAAATCGAGCTTTTGGCAAATCCAAGTTGTTGAGAAGGATTGTTAGAAAAAAACCTTCATTATTCCATTCGACCATTATGAATGGAACGTCATACCCTTTGGGCTAAAAGATGCCCCTACTGAATTTCAATAAATGATGAATGATATCTAAAATTCTTATTCATGATTTGTTATCATCTACATTGATGATGGCTTAGTCTTTTTAGAATCAATAGACTAATATTTTAAGCATCTCAAAGCTTTTCTTACGACCACTAACAAAACTAGCTTGGTTATATCGTCTAAAAAGATGAAACTATTCCAACTTAATATTAGGTTTTTGGGATTTAATAGCTCAAAAGGTCTAGTTGCCTCAATTAATAAAGCTATTGTTTTTGTAGACAAATTTCTTGATGAGATCAAAGATAAAATTTAGCTATAAAGAATTTTAGGTAGGAGAATTCTATAAAGAATTAGTCTTAGACTATAAACCTTTGTTTCAAAGACTAAAGAAAAATCCTTTGATTTGGACTAATGAGCACACTCGTATAGTCCAAAAGATCAAAGCAAAAGCTAAAAAGCTTTCTTGCTTAGCTATCCCGGATCTCGATGCCTACAAAATAGTTGAAATAGATGCATCCGAAATAGGATATGGTGGGATTCTTATACAAAAATCCTAGGGGGTAGAGAATAGTTGGTAAGATTTACTTCGAGAATATGAAACCCCGCTCGACAGAATTGTTCTACTATCAAGAAAGAAATCTTATCCATAGTCCTATGTGTCACTAAATTTGAAAGTAACTTAGTCAATCATAAATTCTTCGTAAGTATTGACTATAAATCTTCTAAAGATATCTTAATTAAGGATGTTAAAAATATTGTATCTAAACGGATATTTGCTTGATGGTAGGCTATTTTATCTGTCTTTGATTTGATATTGAGCACATTATAAGATACTTAAATTCACTACATAATTTCCTAACTAGAGAATTCTTACGAGGATCAAAAACTAAAATCAATTTAAATGTTTCCGAGTTTGAATGATCTATCAACCCTAAAAAGGAAAAAGGATTGGCTTTCCGGACAATCTTTTTATTGATGATGAAGTTTCCAAGCTACCCTATGAAGCTTATATTTTAGGATTGACTCTTAATAATGCAAGTGAAGCCAAGTATCCTTACATCTCGGGACCTCTAATCCAATTATGTCCTTTAATAGATAAAGTAAAAGACATGTCACCTTATTAGGCGACCGACATCATACTAAACAAGCATGTGCCTACTAATTTGGGAAAAAATGAAAGTATTTTATTATCTAGTTATTCTAATTGAGACCGGCTCAACAATATTCTTCGATTAAGATGGAAACTAAAATGAATGGGCTTATTTTAAGCTTACCATTGTTAAGATCCTTTCTCATTCAAATTAGGAAAAAGATCTACATGTTGAAAATTCTCTTAAAAATTATGCTTATTCCCCAATGATTTACTCTTAATTTGACCATATTGATGCTTATGAATATTCATTAATTTGCAAGAACAAGCCTCTAAAGCATAGCTAGTTTATTCGAGTTTCGGTTTAACTAGTTCGAATCCTTTCCTATTTGGTTTCATAAATGGTTTTCTTGTTGAGGTCTCTTTCCTATTTGCATGCCTCTGTCCATTGCCTTTCACTTCAAAGACTTTGTAGTCGCTTGTCCTAAAAAGGATGATCTGCTTAATCTAATCACTTTTGTATCTCTTTATCGAGTTCTTTGGATTGTTAATTGAGATTCTATCATATAAAATGCTAATGATAACAAAGGAGAAATCATAATAGATCTCTTCCACCGTCTTTGAAAACCATTTATTAAGTGGTGGGAAAAGTATAATTTTGAAGAAGGAAGATTCTTCCGCCTAAATCAAGGTAATCTTGAAGCTCTAAAATCCTCCATAAAAACACTCCTCGAGGAGCTCCTTTATTCCGCTTCTAAAGAAGAGATTAAAAAAATCTTTAATAGAAGTTTTCTACGAGCAAGATACGGAGACTAATAAGTCTCCCATTCAAGATTCACAAAGACTCATATGAAGATTTAGATAAGGATGTCAACATGATAGACAACCTTAGTGCTCATCTTGGTCCCTTTAGGTAACTTTGCCTTTTGAGGACCTTTAGCTTTTGAAAAAGTTGTTTACCACGATGCCTAATGAGGTTATTAACACATTTATTATCAATTGTGGACCCTCTCGCTTTTGGAAAGTTGTCCGCCTCCTTCTTATCTAAAGAATCTTAGACCACATGTTGGGCCCCTCTTCCGACTACTATCGAGTTATTAGAAGAATTTTACTTTATGCTTTTTTTCTTTTTCAAGCCACTTGTAAAAAGATGTTTTAAGCTATTTATTTTAAAGCCATCTACTATAAATTTCTATTTAGTCTTCTTGTAAGCCCATCGCTTTATAGAGGCATTCGGTTCTATTTGAGGAGCATCGAAAAAAATTTAGCTTTTAAATCTTTAATTTGTTTCTTAAAACAAAAAGATTGAGTGTGAAAAGTGTTCTGTAGAACCATCTTTTTATAATTATTCTCTTGATGTTCTACTAATATACATATGAATTTGAATTTCTATCTATTGTTTGTTTCCTTCTTTTTATTTAATTCTTTAAAAGCTTTTGTAAAAATTTAGATTTTTAACAATTTTAGCTATCTAATTTCACAAACATTGCATTAATTGGTTAAAAAACAAAAAACCCACACGACATTCAATTTGCAAGCTAGCTGGCATTTGGGTTTTCAATTTTTGTTTCCCAAAGCCATAAATCATACTAAAAAAATATTATAATTTAATTGTTACCCTAAAATCCTAAAAAAAAAAAAGGACAAAAAATTGAACTAGTTTCCTCGTCCATTTTTTGTAGATTTAGGATCCGCTATAATGGATTTAAGGAATTTTTTTAACTTGAAAAAATCTGAACTATGATGAATTTTTATTCTGTTGTTCAAGTAGACGCAACATTCTAATTTAAATGTTAAGAGAAGTAAAAGTAGAAAAAATGAACAATATTATTTTTGGTCTTGGGCTTGGGCTTAGACTTGGACATTATTGGAACAGAGCAAGAATGTCTGTCCAATCATGACCTGCTAATCTCTCTCTCTCTTTCTCTCTCTAAACTAACTGAACGACAGTTATGCAAGCTCACCTGGCTGTTTAGGGTTTTCCTTTAGCTAAAAAGAAAAAAAAAAAGAGAAAAAAAGAGCACCTTTTCGTGTTTTAGCCGTCTGCTTCGATCAATTTTCATGTTTTGTAGCTCGTAATTATTGACTGAGCTGAGTTATTAAGATGTCGAATCGGCCTGAGCTTCTAGCTCCACCTGAGATTTTTTATGATGATTCAGAGGCTCGTAAATACACTTCCTCTTCTCGTATCATCGATATTCAGGTACTCTTCTTCTTCTTCTTCTTCTTCTTCTTCTTCTTTTTTTTTTTTTTCTGTTTTACTTAAAATTTGAAATAAAAATGTATATTTTAGTATGCTTATTTGATTATTTTGTTGTCATGTTGTGTGCTTTAATAGGCTAAGCTATCAGAAAGAGCATTAGAGCTTCTTGCTTTGCCTGAGGATGGGATCCCTAGATTACTCCTCGATATCGGTATGTTGCATATTACCTTTCTCATAACAATTATACATGCATTTACACATCACGCAATGTCTGTGTGTGCAAATTTAGTTCCAGAGGTTTTAGCCTTTGAGCTCAAATGTTTACTGAGATTCTTTTGGGCCTTTTCAGGTTGTGGATCAGGACTTAGTGGGGAGACATTAACTGAGAATGGTCACCAATGGATCGGCTTAGACATTTCACAGTCAATGCTTAGTATGTACACTTGAGTTTGTTCATTTTTTCAATTTTATAATATTTCATCAGAGGTTCATGTAACGTTCTTATGCATATACGATCTTTAACATTATTATTTTTTCCTTCTTTTGCCAAATCCAGATATTGCGTTGGAGCGCGAGGTAGAGGGTGATCTTTTACTTGGTGACATGGGTCAGGTATCCGACTAAGATTCAGATTTAGTTTACATGCCCCACAACCCAATAACAAAAGAGAAGGGTGAATCGAGGCTGTGGGGGAAAATACAATTTCATGGCCAATCAGACCCTTTTGATTGATCAGGATGACAAAACCAGTTTTACGACTTTGTGGCTGTATGGTTGGGATAAGGGTGATGAAATAAGCATAAATTAGTGATGCAATATTTAATGTTGAGGCTGTGCAGTCTTCTACTTTATTGGTTCCTTTGTTTACAGTTTTGGCCAAATATTCTGTGTCATATAACATTTATGATTTAATACTTAATGCGCTGTGCTGTTCTGATATGTGAATATTCTTACTTGTGGATACTATTTCAGTATAAGTCCTTATTTTATTGTTATTATGTTGGAATATACAATTAAACTTGCAAGCCTATTTGCCATAGGCTTCAATTTATAGTTATCACTGGAATGTTTTTTTTTTTATTGCAGGGCATAGCACTTCGACCTGGAGTTATTGATGGTGCCATCAGTATTTCAGCTGTTCAGGTTTTACTCTCTTGTATGCTTTTGACACGTATCCATGTATGCAAGTGTTTTATGTTAGAACTTGTCCATAAAATTCATGTGCAATTCAGTATAACCTCTTTTGATTCTTACTCGACTTCCTGTAGTCATCTTCTGATTTTCTACCTGTTTGAGTTATTTAAGTAAGGCAGAGGCTTGTCTTTTTGTCATTCTGTTTAACTTGCATTTTCCTTGTGTTTTTTAATCTACATGTCACTTTTTAAAAGAAAGAAAAAGGTCTATCTATGAATTAGTCATGTTTTTTTTCCCCTCTTGATTGCACCCTTTCCACAACCTTCCCTTGAAAAACTGAAAGTTGTAGAGAAAGGTACAATTTTTCAAGACCAAAGGTTTAATAGATGACAAAATTTACCTTTTGATCGTATGGTCTCGACTTATCATTCTCTCCTTAACCTGCCCATTTATTACTTCAACAAAGGCATGGGAGCCAAAGCATGCTTATGCTTTACCCTTTTCTTCTTACTGTTATCTTTATAGAAAAAGTAAATTAACGTTTTAAGGTGGACCATTCTAGATTGGAAGAATTTCTAATCAGACAGGCAATTAGCAATTAATCTCTATGAGGTTGGATGAGCCCAAAAGAAAAAGAAAAAAAAAGAAAAAAGAAAAAAAAGGAGACTTTAGGGAGGATGTTTTAGAAAAGTTATGGAATCGAGATTGGGCGTCTATGGTTTTCCTGTCAAAATCATTAACTGAATTTGATTTTTTCCTTAATTTTTATTTCCACAATACATAAACCTGAAGATCTATTTCGAATAGAATTGTCAAACTTTACAGAATTGCATTCTGGAGCTTGCAACTTGGTCTAGTGTTGCTTTTCATAGCCTCTTATATTTCCAGCTTTTCTTGCATATCCTTTGCATGGGTTGTTGCTTAATGTTAAGTTGCATGAGGCTCTATTGAGTGCTTTTTGCTGACTTCATTCTTTTGACTTTTGATTTGGTTCCCAGTGGTTATGCAATGCGGATAAGTCCTCCCATGAGCCAAAACTAAGACTGAAGTAAGTTACTTCTCTATTCTATTCTATTTTTGGTTTATCTGTCAACACTCAATCTTGCTTGGGGTCAACTTTGAGCTTGATTTCTTCTGTATTTTTATGGAGAAAAAACTGGATATCATTAATCAAGAGCATTAAAGTTAATACATCCATTACAGATAACTCAGAAATAGGGTCGGGGGAACTTGTTCTAGAAAAAGGGCAATGTCTCTGTTCCCTGATGTGTTGTGAGCTAGATAATGAGCGGATTTGTTTTTGGCTTTTTGAGGAATGAAGCTAAAAGTTGAGTCCTGCAAGTGTGAGCCAATGTATCTGATATCTTGCAATGGTGAGTCAATATAAGTTGATTGGGTCTGCTTCTGCTGTTAACGGCTTTGCTGACAGTCTGATTGTCACTTTTGATATCTAATTCAAGCAAACCTGCATTCCCGGCCACCATAAGTTCAAACAAAATTGCTTGAGCTTCAAAAAACCCTCTGATGCTTTACCTCGTATTGTTTTTCTTATATCCCTAATGATCACTCCCCCTTTATCACATACAACACCCAACCAACTGAGCTTCCATGAAACATTGCAGAATCAGTATTGAGTTCATATCTAGGAGCTTGGTGAAGGTATCCGCACTCTAGTTTTATCTGCTCTTCTGGGAAGAGAACTTCTGTGTGCCTCTTGATACTGACTCATAAACTCCAAGCTACTGAATGTTTTAGAGTGGTTATGTCATTTATGTTAAAAAATCACTGTATTTTTTTTTTTAACTTCATGAGAACTGAAATTTTCATGGCTTTTTTTTCCCTTCAATTTTGTTGAATTTCACTCAATTCCAGTACTCTGGTTTACAAGAAATTCAGTTCAATGAAACTCTAGAATTTGAACAAATTTTGTGGCATTTGATTAGATTTTGATGGATACTAGCTAATGATCAGATTGACTGAATTGATTTGTAGTGTCTTTGAATCACTTGTGCCTGTTCTTTCCCTTTGTTAAATTGATTGACAATTTTACTGCAGGGCTTTCTTTGGATCATTATATAGATGTTTGGCAAGAGGAGCTAGAGCTGTGTTTCAAGTGTATCCTGAAAACATAGCCCAGCGTGAATTAATTTTGAGGTCTGCAATGCATGCTGGATTTGCTGGTGGTGTGGTTATTGATTACCCACATAGGTATGCTAGGCCTCTATTTAGAAATCTCATGATGGGCTTTTCAGGACTGATGAGGAGATGCTCAGAAATATTATTTGTTGTATATAAGGTTTTTGCTTGGCTTTAACAGCATCAGCCCTTTCCAATCCTGTAACCTGAATCATTGGGTTGGGGTTAAAAGCATAAGTTTTTCAAGAATATGAGCCGCAAGAGCTTGATGTGCTAGATGCTCGTTGTCTGCAAACTCTTCATTTTATTATGCACTTATGTTCACCCTGTTCACTCTTTATCAATTTGCTTTAGATTCTGAGATGTCATTTCCTTAAAATCAAACGAAGCAAAGAAGAGAATCTTGCTATTAATTTTCCTCTGGTTGCATATTCCTATTCAAAGTTCCATCATTCTCTGACTTGACTATTTTTTTCTCCTCACAGTACAAAGAGTAGAAAAGAATACCTTGTGCTTACTTGTGGACCACCATCCATAAACACCACCATTGCCAGGGGGAAAGGCGAAGATGGAGAAAGCTGCTCTGAAGATGAAAGTAGTGGAGATGAAGAAAATCAGACGGTGGGTTGCTTTGTGAGGCACCTTTTCTGCTCAGGCTTTAACTTGGATTGTTTTAAGAATAGTATTCTTTTCTTTTTAATTTGGGTTTTCAAATCACTAATTATTATATATGCAATGTATCTTGCGAATGCAGGTTTGCATTTCAGACAGGCACAGACCTAAGAAAAAACAGAAAATAACCAGGAAAGGGAAGGGCAGAGAATGGATATTTAAAAAGAAAGAGCAACTGAGAAGAAAAGGAAACGTTGTGCCTCCTGACACTAGATACACTGGTCGAAAACGGAAGTCTCGATTTTGATCTTTACGTTACATGCGAAGCCAACCTGTTGGAAAATTATACATATAAATCATTTTGTGCACTGACCTTTATGCGTTTTGAGGATATTTAGCGCCTCCACCACCACCACCACCACCACCACCACCCCCCCCCCCCCCCTTCTCTCTTTTTTTTTTTTCAAACACAAGTCTTTATTATCAATTTGGGTTATTTGGATAATAAATTATTATTTTATAATCAAATGTTATATTTCTTTTGTTGTTTTTTACGGTCAAATGGTTATTAATGTAATGTTTAATGGCTATTAAAGGCATTTATAATAAATTTAGGTTATTTAGATTCTAAATTATTATTTTTAAAATAATTTTATTTTTTTATTCGTTATCTTTAACAATCAAAGTGTTGATTGTTAATTTGAATGTTTAAATGTATATATATTTTTGTGTAAAATATATATATATATATATATAAATAAATATAATGTAGATGATATGTTGTCATATTATATAGTGAATTTTTGTTTTTATAAATACAATTAATTCAATTGAATTATGAGAGAAAGATTGCATTATTAAAATGTTATTGAGATTATTTCTCTTTCTCATTTTTTTTTAATTAAAAAAAAAAACATTTTAGTGTTGATTCATGCTGATTTTCTCTTTGTTCTTGGTTGATTTGGGCTTGAAATGTTGCTATAGAAAAGCATATGTTTCAAAATAATCTCAACAACACTTTAAAAATGCAACCTCTTTCTCTTTATTCAGTTTAATTAATTCAATTGATTTAGCAATGTTTAAAACGATATGTCATCACATATTATGACGATATGTCATCAATATTGACTAATATTATATTTCTTAGAAATTAATTTTCTTTCAAAAAAAAAAAAAAATTGAAAATGCTTAAACGACATTGTTTAAACATTAAAGTTAACAATCAATGTTTTAATCGTAAAAAATAATGGAGAAAAAATAATATTTACTTAGAAAATAATAATTTAAGATTCAAATAACCTACATTGACAATAATATTAGATATGTATGCTCAACAACCACATGTATTGTGTGATATGTGAATAATTATTCCTTTATGACAATCAAAGATATATTTATTATGTGAAAGTTGTTTATTATTTTGAATATGGTCATTAATTAAATTATTAGAATATCTATTCTCAAAGTTGTTTTTTTATTTACTTAGAAAATAATAATTTAAGATTCAAATAACCTACATTGACAATAATATTAGATATGTATGCTCAACAACAACATGTATTGTGTGATATGTAAATAATTATTCCTTTATGACAATCAAAGATATATTTATTATGTGAAAGTTGTTTATTATTTTGAATATGGTCATTAATTAAATTATTAGAATATCTATTCTCAAAGTTGTTTTATTTTTTTTTTTTTTTGAGAGAGAGAGAGAGAGGGGGAGGGGCTGGATTGTCCAGCCCCTTTTGTTTTCCTTCGAAGGAGGGAGATGGGCTGGACATGGCAATCCAGTCCATTTCCGTATGGGTTGGGCTTAACTCAACCTACAAACACATTTTTCTTTTCCCTTTTTAAAAAATTGGATCAAAACACTCATTTTCAATTTTTTTTCTCTCTTCATCCCGCCTCCTCTCTTTTCTCTTTCATTTTTTTTTTTTCTTCTTTTTATCTTCTTCTCCATTGGATCCAGCCTCCATGAACAAACCAGTGAAGGTTCATCCCTCTTTCTCCCCTCTTTCTTTTCTTTCTTTTTCTTATTTTCTTCCTCTTTTCTTCTTTCTTCTTCCTCCTCCTTTCTCGTTCTCCTACTCCTTTCCTCTGGTTGAGACTGCCATGGATGAACGAGTGGTGGTTCATCTTCGTCCATGGCCACTTAATTCTCCCCCCCCCTTTTTTTTTCTTTCCTTCATTTCCTCCTTCATAGAACTCTTAATTTCCCTCTAGATCGAAAACCCAAAATCAATTTTTTTTCAAAATTTTTCCCAATTTACCCAAATCCTAAATTTTGATTTCTTTAAAATTTTCTTTCGACTTGATTTCACTTGAAATCAAGTCAATTCAATTCTTTTAGGACTCAAATTTTTGAAAACCCCTAATTTCAAACATAAACCTAATCCTGCCAAATACATGAAATTAAAATGAAATTAGGTGGAGATACCTAGTAGGATTGGTGGAAAAGGAGGGGATTGCAGCTTCGATTTAGGTAAATTAATCTCTCTTTTTCGAATTTTTCTCTCTTTCTCGTTTCTGTCAAATTTTTTTTTCTTTATTTTTGATTGATTTTTTCGCTAATCTTCTCTAATTTTCGGACTTAGCTACCCTCTTTGTTTGTCAATTATGTGTGTGTGTGTGTGTTTTGGTTTCCCCACTATGACGATGGGGGATTTTCTACAGGATATATATATATATATATATATATATATGTGTGTGTGTGTGTGTGTGTGTGTGTGTGTGTGTTTTGGTTTTCCCACTATGACGATGGGGGATTTTCTGCAGGATATGAGTGTGGGTTGGATTGGATAATGTAGGGTGACTGCTGGCAATGGTGAGACTGCTGGAGGTAAAGTGGTGGCTGGATTGTGGGCTAAGGTAGTAGGTAGTGTTGCAAGAGTTACAGCAGTAGGGTGGTGGAGATTGATTTGGATGATGAAGAAGCTGTTGAGATTTGCAGAAATAGGGTGGCTATGGCAATTATTATTGACTAGAGGGGAGAGGTGCAATGGCAAGTTAGGGCTGACAGGATGTTTGGGCAAAGGGTGAGGTTGTGGGCTGTCGGATGGCTGCAAGTGGAGAGGATGAAATTGTGGGCCGTAGGGTGGCTAGAATTGTTGAATTGGAGGGGCTGCGTAGGAATTGCAGGGGTAGGGGACTACAACATAGCTTGCAAGTTATTGTAGGAGGGGTTGCAAGTTACAATTCAGCTTCGGAAGACAGCAAGAAACTGCATGAAGATGCAGAAGAAAATTGCACAAGAGATGTAGGGGAACTGTCTCTCCATCTCTTCTTTTTTGTATTTTTTCATTTTTTTGTATTTTTATTTCTTTTTGTAATTTTGTTTTGATTTCTAAATAAATAAAAGAAAATATTTTTGATTTTTATTTTGTTTGTCTTGATTTTATATAAAGCAAGCATGAATTTAAATAATAAAAAGAAAAATAAAGAAAACTAAAACAAAAAAATAGTTTTATTTCTAAACTTATCTTTACTTGGGTGTTTTATATTTTTCTATACGATTGATTCATAGTTGTATGATTAAATTAATTAGAGTACACACTAATTTTTTAGTCATTAAATTATTGCTAGCTAAGTGTTCAAATCGTGTAATTGCTTGTGTAAACTTGCCTGTGATAGTAACTAGGAGTTGATGATTATTTTTCACATTTTCGTTCAATTTCTTAGAAAAAATAAAACAAGGTTGCATCTTCTCTAGCATTTAGAAAGGTGGCTTAGCTTCACCTAACTTTTTTCTTGTCTAACGTTGTTATTGAATTAAATCTATCTAGCGCTTAATAGGTTTTTCAATAACTGGAGAATTAATTTGGTATCGTATATTCGGTTAACGACTAACTAAGGAAAGACTCGTAGTCATCATACATGTTGTTGTGTTACGATGAATATTCATGTTTAGGATAAATTAATTATTTAATCAATGATTAGCGATCAAATCAAAAATGGATACCGAAGTTAAATCAAGGTTTTTCTCAATATTATTATTTCAATTTACTTTATTTGTTATCAAATACTCAAAATATAAAACTCCCTCTTTATTACTTTTACGCTGTAAGAGCAATCAAATGAAATAAATGGTCAATTAAGCTTCCTTCCTTGTGGGTTTGACCTTTTGCTTAATTACACTATTGTGGCATAGGTTCCGTGAGGACATTATAAATTCCGAATTTGTTGACGGTATGACACACCATCACCCAATTCCATTTTTTTTTTTTTAGTTCCCCGTGATCTCTATTTTATTTTTTGTTCTTTCCTCTTTTTTTATTTTATATATTTTTATGCAGCAAAAATCGAGTGTTGATAATTAATTTTAGTAGTTAAACTTAAAAATCTTACTAAAAAGATAGATTAAAAACTTAATATGTATTCAAGGATAAAATTATCTCAATTAGAGATATAAAATACAAATTAAAAAATTATCTTATTATATAGAGATAGATTGATCCATTAATCCTCTATTTAAATTTTTTTTTTTTTAAGGAACAAAATTGACATAACAGCAAATACATGTATTAACAGTTGAAGATTCTACAATAGTTCAAGAATCACAACTCATCTTTGTTAAGTTGTAAAAGCCAATCAATTAAACAATTACACATAAGATAAAAATAATTATATCATTAAGTGGTTATAAAAGTTTTTAGTTAAAATATTATTATTATTTTTTAATTATGATAAGAACCCGTGTTTTCCTACAAATATGGAATTTTTATTGTGTGATTGGTGAGTTTTGCAACTCAATGATGCAGGTCAGTTGGAATGCTTGTACTAGTAATATTGCATGTTAACAATTCTACACGATTTTTTACTTAGACTGTAAAAATTCATGTAAGTCGCTATTTCTCATGCACAACTCACTTTTGTTGATCTCTCCTCTTACTTCACCAACGGATCACTAACCCTCTTTCAGGAGTTATTCGTGCACAATTCTAACCTCACCTGCAAGATACCACCCATGCGCTAGAAAACTTGAAGAATTCGGAAAAAATGTAGGCAGTTCTATGGGAACTGAATGCGAACATCATTTATTTGGATCGATATATATTTTTTTCTTTTTGCTTTCTCGAGGGTGTCAATGGACTCTCCTTAGGATCGGACACTTTGAAGGAACTACTAGGCTCACGAAAAGACCATTTCATCAACAAACTATCTACATATTTTTTAAAAATTTTTTGATCTTAAGCGTGGCTTTTAAATACAACTAAATATGGCATTCCATTAGCAACTCTCATTCTGAAATTATTGTCAAATCTCATAGTATCAAATAATGGCGGTGACAATCAAGGGCTCTTATATAGTGAAACCTGCAAAACCAACATGGACTGGCCGCGTTTCCCTTTCTGCATGGGATCAAATTGGAACAATAACGCATGTTCCCACTATCTACTTCTACAGACCATCACCAAACTGGCTTACACCATCCGATGCTATTATCAATAACCTTAGAGACTCATTGAGCCATGCCTTGGTGCCATTTTATCCACTAGCCGGCCGGTTACACTGGATAGGCCGTGGCCGACTCGAGCTTGAGTGCAATGCCATGGGTGTCAAGCTCACTGAGGCTGAATCTGAATCCAAGCTTGAAGATTTTGGCGACTTTTTACCATCTTTAGAGTACGAATACCTAATCCCAAATGTCGACTATACTGTTCCAATACATGACCTACCTCTATTGCTAGTGCAACTCACCAAGTTCCAATGTGGTGGTATTAGCCTAAGTCTAACAATATCTCATGCTCTTGTTGATGGGCAAAGTGCACTTCAATTCATGTCAGAGTGGGCAAGAATCGCCCGTGGCGAGCCTTTAGGGACGGTTCCTTTTCTTGACCGAAAGGTCTTGCGAGCTGGGGATCCCCCAATAGCGCCGCCACAGTTTGATCATGCGGAGTTCGATCTTCCACCATTACTGTTGGGGCAGTTGAATAACGTCGAAGAGAGAAAAAGAAGACAACTATAGCCATGTTGAGGCTAACCAAAATTCAGGTTGAGAAGTTAAGGAACAAGGCTAATGAAGGAAGAAATATAGAAAGTGGTCGTGGTTATACTAGATATGAAACCTTGTCTGCACATGTTTGGAGGTCTGTTTGTAAAGCACGTGGACACCAACCTGAGCAGCCAACTGCTTTAGGTGTCTGTGTTGATTCACGTAGACGGATGCAGCCACCTTTACCTGACGGTTACTTTGGTAACGCTACTTTTGATGTGATCGCGGTTAGTCACGCCGGTGAGCTCATGTCAAAGCCCTTGGAATATGCTGCAAGTAAAATAAGGGAAGCAATTGAAACGGTTACAAATGAGTATGTGAGATCCGCAATCGATTTCTTGAAGAATCAACCAGACTTGACTAAGTTTCAAGACCTTCACTCACTAGGAGGTACTGAAGGACCCTTTTATGGGAACCCGAATATTGGGGTGGTTAGTTGGTTAACCCTACCTATTTATGGCCTTGATTTTGGGTGGGGAAAGGAGATTTATATGGGACCTGGCTCTCATGATTTTGATGGGGACTCGTTACTTCTGCCAAGTTCTAACGGAGATGGGTCTTTAATTCTTGCAATATGTTTGCAGGTGGCTCATATGGAAGCTTTTAAGAAATACTTCTATGAAGATACATATCTTGTTTAAGGCTCTGATTTAGATAATAAAAAAGGTACCTAGCTCTCTTAGACCCAGAAATAAGCAGCAGTGACTGCAGATCTGGAATAAATAGTCAAGGGAAAAAAAAAAAAAACTAATTAATATGGTTACTTTATTACTATCAGATGAGTTCCCATATATATTCTATGAAAAAAAGAAAAACGTTTACTACTTTATTACATTGGTGTAATATCTTTTATTGTTGTTCGATTACTGTTTATGTTTTTGACATAAACTCGTTTTAAAATGGTCATACATGTATGGTCATTCATTGTAAACACCACCGAATGTTATGTACTTCTTAATTAGCCCATGAGGATTAAACCTGGAAATTTCTGTATTAAATGCGGACATAAGGCTACACCACGGAAATCAGCTTCAATATAATTCTTCAACCCAGGCGGAGGAACATTCCAAGACCACAAAAATGATGGGCACCAACAGATAGAGCTACCGGTCCGATATTAGATACCAGGATAAAAATAGGTTATTTGAATTAAAGCTAAATCGGCCAAATCTCATCTCAAATTTATTTTATTTGAAAATTAGTCTCTCAACTTTTAATTTTGAGTTTAACCTCTCATGAATTTTTTTAATCTTTTTTTTTTTTTTTTTTTTTTGTTTTAAGATTTAGTCCATCCTATGATTTCAACTGTCACTTTCCTTTTTAATTTTTTTTTTGAATTCTCGATATTTTGCACATATGTTGGGAAAAATATAATTTATTTTCTAAAAAAATCTCAGACTTTTTTCAAGATCGAAAAGTACACACTTTTATTTTATGAACTTTAAAAGGGTAGAAATCTAGAAAAATAGAAAATAAAATAGAACAATTCTATTATTTATTCATTATTTTTTGACAAGTCGTATAAATCTTTACTAGATGATTTCCATCATAGTACTATTTATGTGAGTATTAGTTTTGATAGAAAACTAAACAGACTATCAAAACTAAATAGACTAAATCTAATATATATATATATATATATATATATATATATATATATATATATATATATATAAACAAAAAAAGTTCAAAGAAGGTCAAATAAAAAAATTAGAAGTTTAAAGACTAACTTTTAAATAACCTAAAGTTGAGAAGAGATTTGATCCATTTAGGTTGAAATAAATTATCAAAGATTAATTTAGTTTAGAAGTCAATACTTTCACTCCCGGTATTGGAGCATGTGTGAGACTTGTTTTGACTACATCTCATATGATGGCACGTAAATTTTTTTCTATACAATTTCAATTATTTGTTGAAAAATTATTTTTTCATTCATGCATTTTTATTTGTATATTGAAGATGATTCATATAAAAATTATTTCTAAACTTTTGAAAATTTACGATTTTGATTTTGATTTTTTTTTTTTTTTGAAAAGCTTCGATTAAGAAAATCTTTAAAGGGTTTTGAATGTATTTGTGATGAGTCTAGAAAACTCAAATAATGATTGATGATTGCATGGTTTTTTATGGTTGAAATGAATTGTAGAGATTGGTGATGAAAAATAATCCTTTGCATTGAGAACACCAACAAAACAAGTTTTTCTCGGTTGATTGAGGAACCCTTAGATATACGAAGAGAGGAGATGTTTTAAGTAGGTTATGATATTTTAAGTTGTGTGTATGAAAGAGATAATGAATAGTAAATATAGGTTTGAGAAACTAGGATGGTCCTTAGGGTTTTGATACGGAGGAGGTGTTTGCCAAGTTGCAAGTTAGGAGTCAATGTCTAACATTGTCATTTCATAAGTGTTAGGTTTATCATCTTCGTATAGCAAACATATCTCCATATGTAGAGATAAGTAGGCCATATATTTCTTGCTCTTGGTAAATCCTCATAGACCTATGAAGTTTATGTGTATCAATTTACGAAATATTTATGATGTTTTGTCAACTATCTACTTAGATTCCATTAGTGGAGTGTCAATTTATGAGTATGCTTTAATCTTATTGAGTTGAAATTTCCTCTCACTCGTTTCTAGCATCCATAAATTCCTTCTAAAGGAATATAACATGCTTAGTTACTCGTCATACCCTAAAATTTTACTCATTTTTCTTTTTAGTTTTCTTTATTATTCATTTTCGTTTTTTGTAAAAGAAATATATATATAAAAATATATATATATATATATATATATATATATATATATATATATATTTTCATTTAGTTATTTAGAATTCGAACAAAATTACAAAAAAGTAAAAATGGAAAAATTCAAAAAAAAAAAAAAGAGAAGAGATGCGAGGATAGTTCCCCTCCATTCCCTTTACAATTTCGCAACATTTCCTAGCTACACCGGACAATTCCCCAAATCGTTTTCTACCCAAGCCAGAAGCCCCTCTTATGTAATTCCCGCAATCCGCAATTCCCGAATACCCCATCCCCGCAATCCTCCGTCCCCGCAAATTGCAGCTTGCAGACATGACCCCTCCAAGTCAACAATTTCTGCAGACCTTACCATGCTACAAATTGCAGCTTGCACTGCCCCCACCTCTGGACAACTTCCCCAATTCCTGCAGACCTCACCCAACTTCCCCCAATTCCTGCAAGGCTATAAGTCGGCAGCAATCGCTAGCCTCCTTTAAAGCCCTCAACCTCACCCTCTGCAAAAGGGGCCGGAACCTGAAGAGAATAGGATCCGAGACAGCTACCCTTGCTACTCGTAATTTCGCAGAGACCACTCCCGCTACCGCAATTTCTGCAAGCACCACCTTATCCCACAAACTCCCGTCAACAATGGCAGCACTCCCCATCTCGCTAGCCTCCCTGCACGACCTCAATTTGTCCCGCAATTACCACCCACCAGCGACCACCCCTGCTACCGCAATTTCTGTAGCATCACCCCATAACTTCCCCTACTTCCAGCAGTTTCACCACCGCCACAACACACCAAAAAAAACAATCCCATCCAAACCCCCCATTTGACAAACCTCGTAGAAAATCCCCCACCATCATAGTGGGGGGAACCAACCAAGCCACATTCACATATATATATACATACATAGACAACAGAAAAAAAAACAAGAGGGAGGGGGATTTCGATCCGAAAAAAAGAGGGCGGGAAGTCCACAAAAATTAAGAGCCCGAAATTGAAAGCAAAAATAGCAAGAACAAAAACCGAGCGAGTAGTAAAAATCCAAAAAAGGAGAAACAAAAGTTACCTCTTGAAGCATCAATCCACATTCAGCTCCATCCTTTTAGGTAATCAATCCAATTTTGCTTTGAATTCGGATTTCTTTTGTTTGTTGATTTAGGTTAGTCCCGAATTTTGGGGATTTTTGAAATTGACTTGAAATAAGGGTTGGTAAGGACGAATTAAACTCAATTGGAGTTTCAATTTGGGGCTTAAACCCCAAATTGAAGTCGAATTGATTTCAACTCGGTTTAGGGTTCTTGAGTTTTTTTGAAAACGAAATTGATTTGGTTTTTTTGATTGAGTAAGGAAAAGAAGGAAAGGAAGGAGAAGAGAAAGAAAGAAAAGGGAAAAATTAAGCTGCCATGGATGAACCTCCATCGGTTCGTCCATGGCGTATCCGAAAAAAATCGAAAGGGAGAGAAAAGAGGGAAGAAGAAGAATAAGAAAGAAAGGAAGAAAAAGAAGGGAAAAGAAAAAAAAGGGGGGAAGCATGGACGAACTCGTTCGGTTCGTCCATGGCGGACCCGAAGCAAAAAGAAAAAGAAAAAGAAAGGAGAAAGAGAGAAGGAAGAAGACGGGCAAGAGAGAAAGGGAAAAAAAATGAAATGGGACTTTTGATCTAAAAACATGTTAAATTCTCATTTGGGTTATGTTTTTGGGCCAAAAAAAAAAATAAATAAATAAACTTAGTTTTTTTATTTTAAGTGAGCCCAAACTCACTTTGCTGAGACTGGACTCGTCCAGCTAGTCCGAAATTTAAGGTAGGCTAGACGAGTCCGGCCCAAAAAAAAAAAAAAGTAAATTTTTTTTTATGAATTTTTTATTTAATATTAAAATTAGCTATTGAATTGTTTTTTTTAATTATTTTAATTAATGTAATTTTTTATCGAAAATTTATTTTTTATGCATGCTCGTTATCAATTTAAATTTCGGTATTTGATTTCTTTTATTTAATTCATGTAGCTTTCATTTATTTGTTTTGTATTTAGGTTCGGTAAGTAATAAGTAGAAGATTGTCAAGTCTCCTAAGTTTTTAGGGACCGATGACAATCCATCTAAAAAATAAATAAAAATAATAATAAAAAACAAATCATAAAACTTTTTAACAAAGTCTCCTATCCGATAGGACTCGTTGTTAGCCAAAAAAAGTTTTTTTTAATAAAACAAGTGTTCTCCGGCACACCGGTTGTGTCGAGACGCAAAAAAAAAAAAAAAAGGATCCGATGTTTGAATCGACATGTCTCCCCGACGAAAGGGGTCCGACGATCATTTCAATACGATGCCACACTTAAAAATACGAAAAATAATTTGACTTGAATTTGAAATCTCAAAAATTGAAAAAAATAATTTGGCAAAAATAAAATACTTTAGGAGATAATTTGGGACTAAGCTAGATGTGGTACCTTTCTTAGAAAAGGGCACTTTTGGGTGATTAATTATCTTCCCATAAGCATAACCGACTCCTTACCATAGAATCTCCGAACCAGTGCCAATTTTAGGTTCCTAGTTCCTTCAATACTAGGTGGCGACTCCAAGCTCGTAAATAGTTCCGCAAATAAAAATCGATGCATTGAGAGTCTGTATCTATCTATATTTCTTTTTTATTTTGAGGAGTCTCGTCCGACGTCGGGTAGCGACGATTACGAAAAACATTTTGTTTTAGTGGTAGGAAAATGATATCCATTCGTTTCCTTTTAGATATTTCACAGATTTGCACTTCATTGGTTTTGGGCTTCGGTTTGTTTTTGTCAAATCGTTTGACATATGTTTTATAGCCCCAAACCTTAAGGAAAGATAAATTTACTTTCTTTTCTTTCCATATTTCATATGAAGTCTAATCAAATAGAATTAAATGGAACCCTATTCAAGGTAAAAGTTGCAATAAGGAGTGTTTATCTCAAAATGAAATAGAGATATTAATTTGACTCATCATGGACTCGACTATGTCTAACATATGGTGTCCATTGATAGAGAATCTCATTCTCTTGAAGGTGATCTAAAATTCATTACCTAAGTATTCATCACCTCGATCTAATCGAGATGCCTTAGTATTTTTACTAGTTTACTTAACTTTAAATTTAAATCCATTGAACTTTTCAAATGCATTAGTGAAGGATCATGCATCCTATCGAGGTGGAGAATAAAATAAAAAATTTCTCCATTTAAAGGGCTCAAGATCATGTCGTTGAATCAACTAACCATATATTCATGAATTAAAGCGATGAATAGAGAATTATCTCTTGTAGCGTAGATCTAAACCATTGTAGAAAAGAGCCATCCAAATGTCTAACCTCTATCGACAATCTAAGCCGTCCAAGCACTCATAAAAGAAGCTCTCAAATTGATAGAGTGCTAGCTCCATCTTTTTTGACTTGTTTAGTGTTTCTTATAGAAATCGAATCGGGATAATATTTGTGACAACCCAAAGAGAGAGAGAGAGAGAGAGAGAGAGAGAGAGAGAGGAAAAAGTGGCATGCTAGGGTTAGAGAGAAAACAATTTTCTCTTCTTTTATTTTTTTTAGCCGTGTGCCCCAATTTCTTTTCTTGTTGTGTCAAAATTTCTATCTCCCTAAAAAGCATTATATTTGCCACACCTCTCTCTTATATATATAGGGGAGAGGCTTCCTTATCCTCCAAGGACAAGGATGGGGGGCAATGAGTCCCTAAAGGACTATTAGGTTGTTGCTTTCTAATCCTCCAAGTATTAGAAGTTATTTTGCATATAAGCTTTTAATCTTTCTCTTTAAAGCATTCATCCTCATCCAATAAGGTTCATGTTTATCCTCCAACCAAAATATCTTTTAGGATTTTAATTAAACCTATTCACGTAAAACTATTTTGGCCCAATTAATTACTTTAGATTATCCAAATAAATTAAGTTAGATAATTTTAAAAGGCCCACATTAGGAAGTAATTTCCCAAATTATCCTTAAAACTAAATTAGGAAACTCGTTTCCATTTTAGGTTATTTACTTCCAAATTTAGAACTTCCAAATTAGGAAACTGATTTCTAAAATAGAAAATTTTTTATTTTAGGAAACTTTCATTTTTGAAAACCTTTTTCAAAATAGAAAATTTTTATAATTGAAATTTTTTTCCAACATCTTTGTAGCTCTTTAATCATGTGAATACTTAAACTTATGGGTGTGACTCAATAGACTTTTAGATAGATTGATAATGTATCAAGAATAAGAGAGACTTCTTTTATCTCTTGATACATAAGCCAAGATTGGCCTCTAGCAAAACATCATGACTATCTAATTCTCTAAGAGAATTAATTAATCTATAATTACCTTTCACGAGCATGATTACCATATAATTCGAGTCCTCATGTTAACTTATCATAGTGTGATCTTGAACTTGGTTATTAGTCTAGCTCGTTTATGATCACATAAGTTTTCTTCGATTCCTAAATGTCTTAGTTCGTAGAGTAAACCAACTATGCTCTATTGGTGTATTCTTACTATGGTCATATATTTCGTAAGCGGACATTCATCAAAGTGCAATATGATAACTCCTTTAGCATATAAGGAATGACATGTCCTATCTTAGTCATCCACCTACCTTTACTAGATTTCTAGTACACCCAATGAATCTCCCATGTGCAACCCTTTATTGGGTCCATCGAAATGAGTGTCAAAGTAAAATCTTCCAATGAGATAACTATGATGACTTCAAGTCTAAGGACTAGTTGTACCCATGTCGTATGAGATTCTCATAGACTAAACCAAATGGGTTCTTATAATGAGTCAAGTCTAGAGATATGTTCTTTAATATAAATAACCTAAGTACTTGTTTTGACATCACCATGCCAATAGGTGTAAGATCTCATACTGCTTATCATATAGTATGAGTATAACACTCATAAGTCTATCCACATCTAGTAAATGTTCATTCTTGATAATGCTAAGGCTTGAGATATTTAATGATATCATTTATATGCATTTATGTTTGTTTTACATCTTTTGATAATCACTTTTGCAAATGCATATCAAAGGACTTCTATTTAATTCTACTCGAATTAATGAACATAAAATATAAGAATTAATAAAAAGACTTCTTTATTAATAATGAAACAAATAATACAATAATAAACTCAAACCTATCCAAATATGGTTGGATCTTTGAACACCTACACTAACAATCTCTTACTTGCATTAGAGCTAATTAACCATGTCTCGTAATCTCAACGATCGAGTAAGGGTCTCATTTTTTAGCTTTGACAAAGACTTAGTCAATGGATCAACTATGTTCTCATCGGTGTGGAACTTTTTTATCCTTATGTCATCGGGACTGATAATCTTTCTAATTAGATGGTAGCGTCGTAATACATGCTTGGACCGTTGACGAGACCTTGGTTCCTTAGCTTATGCTATAGCTTTGTTGTTGTCATAGTATACTATTATTGGCTCAACAATGTTAGGAACCATTTGTATTCAAGATAAAAATTTATGAATTCGAAAGCTTCCTTAACTACTTCTATAAAAGCAATATATTTAGCTTCGGTTGTTGAGTCGACCATTGTTTCTCGCTTAGAATTCTTCTAGCTAACAACTTCATCATTCAATTAGAAAATGTATCCCGACTATGACTTAAAATCGTCATGGTTAGTTTGAA